AAAAATGACTCCTTGCTTAGGTAAGAATTGAAATGGGAGTCCCTTGGTAGAATTTGAAAGAATGCCACCAATTGGCAGAAAAGGAAAACACGAAGTGATCAAGTCCTAGCCACTTCTCTTAAAAATGCTGATCATAGTTCATTGAAGTTCTCAGAATGTACTTACTGCCAGGGACCTCAGAGATCTTGGATCAAATAGAAGCTTTTCACCAAGAGGGAGATGTTGACTTTCAATATGTAGCTCCCTTATTCCTTCTATTTTATCCAGACCTTCTACTACAGTGATGCAGTTGCCTCCCAGATACCTGCAGAATAGAATACAAACCAGATTTCATATCCTTTGAAAGTAAAAGCAAACACAAGGCCTCAAACTGAAAAACCTATTTTTTAAAGTATTATTGAATAATACCTGGAAATTATAATAGAAAAAGTAAATAATCTAACATGCGAGTAGAACATACAGCTAACAGAGCCAAGTTTTTTTAGAGGTTTTATATATTGGCATTATTATTATTATTTATTATTATTATTCTGAAAAAGAAAATAATTTAAATGCAAATTAAGATATGTAATTACTTATAGAATTTTTCATTAAAAAATAATAAGCAATTACTTTTACTTGGAAAGCAAAATTTAAGAGCTAAAAGAACCTTAATGGCTACATTTTTTAAAAATTTCTTAGTGCAATAATTATTCTTTTACTACTAAAATAAACACATTATTTTCAACTTACAGTTTTTCAAGGTTTTTCAGCGATGAGAGATTTTCCATACAGGAAATACAATTGTTCTGAAGGTAAAGGTGCGTTATATTCAAAGCAAAGTCCAAGTTCTGTATTTGACTGATTTGGTTATCATATAAATACAGAACTCTAAGATTTTTACACAATGAGAGGTCACCCTGAAATAAACAATAACAAATTAATGCTACATAAAGTTCACTCACTGCCTGCTTCTGGAAGCTGCTGATTGTCTTTATATTTAAGTCCAACTGAAATAGTCTATTCTATTAAGTTCTGCTGCATGATTTATATATTTTCATTTTTAACGAACACTTTTAACAACCATTTTTCCTAGAGAAACTGAGTTAGTGTCAGTAATCACCTCCTGCATAGATTTAAGGCTGAAGTCTATTACTATCCAGCTGTACAGAAGCTGAGGATTACAGCCATCCTCAGCAGGTTCATCACATCCTGTGTGACTTCATGCCCTTCCCTGCCTTCATCAGGTGCATTTCAGAAAAGCACAATTGCCAGTGGAGTTGCCTCCACCAAACGTCTGTGATGTCCTGGAAATCAGTTCTCAGCAACAGACTACTGATTTATACAAAAACTTGCATTTCGATGTATTTTAATGTACTTCTGACACTAAAATTCCCCTCAAATGTCAAGTTTAATTGAATTTATTCTTCTTAAATAACTAAAAGGTCACATGTTCTTAGGAGAGTTTCTGTAAAACTTCTCTATGGCATCTATGAACCAGTCCTAATCAAATGGACCGATCACATTAGTATCTTGCTATGGCTGTGCACATTCCTAGGAGGGGCCTGAATAAACCCATTTGCTTGCATGGATCTGTTCACACAGGATGAGCTATTCAATCTTCTTGACTGAAATCACACTTTTAAAGCAGTAATCTACCATACACAACAATTCAGTTGTTCAGGGTTCATCAGCAGTTTCCAAATGTTCCCAGTATCTTGAGGGGATCTGAATTAACTCAGGACTTACTGAAACCTGTATAAATTTCCTATTATTAAACTCAAAGGAAGGAGGACTGGGTTAAGTTTGCAAGTTTAGTCTTTGAAAATGAAAAGGCCATGGATTATTTTTTAAATGAATAAACCCTAGGGAGCAATTTTTTAAGAAAATGTAGATTTTAACCTCACTAATTTGAAAAAGCCACTACACCAGTCCAAATTTGTTAACCTCACGTGGCTTATATCCTGTTCCTGAACTCCCCTTTCCTTTCTCAGACTTCCTCTGAAATCTAAGGAATAAATCACAGATAGGTTGAAAAGATTGTGCTGCCAGTTAACAACTCTTTGTAAAATTCCCAAGACTAGAAAAAAGTATGACATTAACAAGAATAAAATAAGTGTTGCACTTAATAGTATGTAATATTACTATTTCCTTTAAAAAAAGCCAAACTCTGATCTGCAAAATTATTAGTTCCTTACATGCCCTCCTGTTCCTCAGTTCACATTTTTATAAAGGTAGCCATCAATAAATACAAGTCTTCAAATCAAAAACCAAACTGTTACTGAAAAGATGAACTTTGGGTTTTAATTTCGTACCTAAAGTCTCCAAGAATACTACAGCTAGATTTCAGCAGGGATAGAGAACTGCTATCAAAGCCCTACAGCTACTGATTCAATGGCAACAGCCTGGCTATATTCCATAAGAAAAGTGTCAGGTCTAAGTGATTAATTTGAAATATTCTCTTTCTTAAGCAGCTGAAGAGACAGGCAAGTGGGGTTATCATTTCCATTCTAGTAACTTCCTGAAACCTCCTCTACAATGTTGCAACTGTATGAAATAATAAAAATAGCAAATAGTTCTGAATTTTTTTTTTAGAGCTACAGATTTGTACAATACTTCTGTGAAATACTGCAAAAGTAGTTCACAACACTTCAGTTCATCTCTCTTGTGTAATTGCTTACATAGGTTTTCTATTTTAATTAATTAATAGCAAAAATAGTGCACTGATAATATCCTTCTTATTTGCTACACAGATTCAGGTAAGTAAAATACTTCAACAGGATTTTTGCCACATAAAGAAAAAAGTGGCTGCTCAATTATGAGAAACCCTGCAGACTGGTGGAGTTACAGTCACCCGCTTTGATGTTCTATATGAAAAGTTACAGCTGAAAGATTATTTTACCATTTCAAAATCACATACATTTAAAATCCATTTAAACACTTACATAAAAGCAGTGTTCCACACAGTAACAGCAGTGAATGTTTCAGCAGAAGCATGTTTCCAACTGTATTATTAAGACTTAATTACAAATCAATATAAATAATAAAACATAATATAGATGTTAGAAAATAGAAACTTGGCTTTGCTTGTTTATCTCCTCACGTATAAACAACTAATTGAAACAGTAACTACAAAACATTTGAGTAGTCAGGCTAAAAGAAAGACATAAAAATAAATCTTACAATTGCATCTATGTTTTTATCTGATAAATTCAGATGAGTTACTTTTCGCAGATACTGTCTGAAGTTCTCCTCATTGAGATTCTTGTGACTGATGCTTTTAGCAATTAGGTTCATCGTTAGTCGAACCATAATTCTCTAATAGGCCAAACTGCTCTACTACTTCTTTTAATAGTGTATTCCAGGTGCTCTTGTAAGTAGTTTTATAAAATGCCTTAAAAACAAAAAGAAAGATGTTATACTACTTGTACCCCAAATCTTAAACAAAGGTTAGATGTATTCTTCAAACTTGATGTTTCCCCACCAATTCCCTTTTTGCTTACAGTGGCACATTTATGCATATACAGCCTTTGGTGTTTATAAAAACCTACCCCTTTCTTGCTCTCGCTTTTTCAAACTTTTAGGGTATTAAATAACACTTACAAAACATTGTTATATTTGTTGTTTCAGTGTGCTTAAGAAGGTACCCTAGTCATTTTTTTAAATACAGAAATATGAGCACAACGGTCTGCAGCAGAAGTAATTCTCACACATAAATACCTAATTAATGGCAGCTCATAACCCGATTATAAATCAGAAAAGACATCACTCTCCATAGCAGGTTTTACAGGCTGTGAGAAGTGGAATAAAGCTACAGTATTCTTTACACATCTGCACAGCCTTTTTGTCATGCACACAACTGCATGTGCATTCGTTATGCACAGTGAAAAAAATGAGTTTTTTGCAGTGAGGCATACTGGAGAGGCTCTCACAACAATACCAACTTCTATTTTTTAAACTCTGGCCATTGGTTCAAAGGAGCTTACAAATCAAGGAATGGGGGGGAGTGAAGAAGGCAAGACAAATATTTGAAACTGTACGTGTAAACGGTATGGGATAAAAATACCTTAAGAAATGTAACTTAACAACCCAGAACAAAAAGGTTGCTTTTTTAGCTAATACACAATACCCCTACATTAGTGTATCAAAACTGAGGAGACAGCAAAAAGCCCCTCCAGTGCTAAATCTCATGCAACCATATAAACCAAGGCACAGTGAATCCTCTTTGCCAGTAATAGTTAGGAGGAATTGAGGAAAAGTGAAGATTAAAACTGCAAAGACACAATAAACTCCCTTACTTACTAAGCAAGACTGAAGCTCAGTAGTTCCCCCTTATCCATGTGGGTTTTGGTTTTTGCTTTTTTAAAAAAGGTGAGGGAAGAAGTAAAGCTGAAAGGATATTACTTTTTTTTTTTTAGTGACAAGTGTGCTTCTTTCTTGCCTTTTACATTAAAAACTCCTTTCAAAGCCTTCTCTTAGACCTTAGACCAAAACAAGTAGTACCAGCAGAAGAAAAGGCAGGCTGTCAGCGCGGGGCCTTTCCGTGAGGGAGGCCTCCCTTCATTCCCGGATCCTAGAGCCGGGTGCTTTGACTACTGTCCTCGTCCCCTCCTCCCCAACACACAGCTGAGGTCTCGACGACGACAAGGATCAACCATCACCCAACACTCTGTGGAAAAGCTGCTTTGATGTCCCTCCCGTAACCGACGAGGGACAAGGCAGGGGGCCAAGACCTGCTCTCAGCGCCCACCCGAGAAAAGAGCCACTCCGCGACCTAGCCCCGACCCCGCTCTCCCACTCACCTCCCGGCCGCCGCAACGCGACCGGTTGCTACGGCAACCGCACGCCAAGAGCAGAATGCCCCCGCCGCTGCCTGCGGCGTGCGCCCTTCCCACCCAATCAGCGTTGAGGGGGGGGCGGGGCTGCGCCTGCGCAACCGTGAGCCGCGCAGGACCGCATAGGTCAGTCACGGTCCACACGCCAGGGCCAAAAGAATAGGCGCGGGTTGGCCCCTGGGGTAGCTGGAGTCTGTCAGCCCACCTCAGGAGTCTGTAGAAAATTGCAATGGGAATTTGCCAGAAGAAAACTCTGACGAGCTCGTTGCCTTATAAATATCTTAATGTTGCTGTGTGTTTTAAAATCTCATTTGCCTGCAGGTTTTCCATCTGGTGTTACCCCTTCTTCCTGCATGACAAACATTTTTGTGAGGATGGATTGCTGGCAAAAACAAAATTGCGTGGTCCACTTCCCCCATGCATAAATTAGGAGGGTTAATAGTTTAATAAATTACATGGTATTTAACAGTGTTGTTCTGGTCTATAAAAAGGGTTAGCAAATGTTTAACACACTTTTCTTCCAATTTGTTGGGTTTTGTGGTGGTGTTTGTTTTTAAATCAATATTATGCCATCCTCTTTGGTGCTTTTTAAAATTAATTGTTGATGACACAAAACTGGGAGGAGTGGCTGACAGGTCAGAGGGTTGTGCTGCCATACAGAGGGACCTTGACGGGTTGGAGCGATGGGCTGACAGGAGCCCCAACAAGTTCAGTAAGGAGAAGTGCAAAGTTCTTCACCTGTAGAGGAACCACTCCAGGCACCAGCACGGTATTCTGGGCTGCATTAGGAGAAAAGTTGCCAGAAGGTGGAGGGAGTTGATCCTGGCCCTTTATTCAGCACTGGTGAGGTCACACCTGGAGTTCTGTGCCCAGTTCTGGGCTCCCCAGTATCAGAGACATGGCCATACTGGAGAGAGAGAGTCCAGCAAAAGGCCATGAAGATGATGAAGGGATTAGAGCTTGTCTCCTATGAGGAAAAGCTGACAGGTGGGTCTGTCCAGCCTGGAGAAGAGAAGGCTCAAGGGGAATCTCATCAATGTCTATAAATACCTGAAGGGAGGGTGTAATGAGGACAGAACCAGGCTCTTTCATTGATGCCCAGTGCCAGTATCAGAGGCAATGGGCACAGACTGAAACACCGGAGGTTCCCTCTGAACATCAGGAAACATTTTTCCACTGTGAGGGTGACTGAGCACTGGCACAGGTTGCCCAGAGAGGTTGTGGAGTCTCCATCCATGGAGATAATCAAAAGCCATCCGAACATGGTCCTGGGCCCTACATGGCCCTGCTTGAGTGGGGGGGTTGGACCAGATGACCTTCAAAGGTCGCTTCCCACCTCAGCCATCCTGTGATTCTGTGAATAAAGCATATGACAACTCACTGAAGTCAGTATTACTTTAAACACGTTATGTGCTTGCTGTGCTGGAACATAAAAGCGCATCAGTTGAAGTCAGTGACAAAATATATTGTTGCAAATGAAACCAAGATTAGGACTTACTTGCAGGAAAAATGACAAAAATGTTGCTGTGAGCAAGGATATTCCACTTTGTTAGAAATGCAGACATGGTATAAAGAGTCCTGTCCTTCCAACCTGAATTTTCCTATATCTTTTTCTCTGAGGATACAAAAGATCATAAGATGTCCTTATTTTTGCAGTGGAATCCAAACTGCACGTGCCCTGGAGCTGCTTGTTCTGGGAAATGTTTCTGTAAAAAAAATATGTTAATAGTCTGAAAGTTAATTTTGGACTTAGTTTGCTCTCCCTTATGGCTGTAGATTTTGCAGGTGTCTAGGGCTGTCTGTTAGTGATTTGATTTAATGGCAGAAAAAGCTATGAGAAGTTTCAGAGAGAGTATTTATTCATTAGGATTTGAAATAGGATTCTCATCTGGTGGCAGAGAGTATTAAACAATCATCTGTGTACTCTCCAGGATGGCAGTAATTTGGCTGAGTACAGAAAGTCCTTGTCTTCAAAAGCGCTTTTGCAAATACCTGTGTAAAACCATCGATGGCTATATTTCTTACTGTTCCAGCCTGGAACACCGAACTGAAATTTACTTCTAAGGACATAAAGCACCGTCAGAGCCTCCCTTGCATAAGCACTACCATACATTTTGCATAGTGCTATTTCTGCATATATGGATTCTGTATGTGGTGTGTGTCATGTAAGACAAATATCCTTAGAAAGTACTGACGCTGCTAATTGTAAAACACTAAATCCAAGCCTAGTAATTTCTGAAAGCCTTTTTCAGGGTCAGGTTTCAAACTTTTTATCCAGTCAGACTTTTTCCAGAGTTTGTGGCTAGACAGCTATATAAAATGGAATCAACACAGTTGCTTCAGTACAGTTGTTTTAATATGTAAAATACATCTGAAACAACTTCTTCCACTAAATTTAAGTTTGGTTTGGTTTTGATGTTTTCAAAGGTTGCAAATGTAAGGTTCTCAAAAACAGGGCAGAGGAAATGGTGCTTAAAATTCAATGAACTTGCAGAAAGCTGTACTGAAATGTCTTTGAATAATAAAGTTATAATCCAATAAGGCTGACCTTGTCAGCCTGGTTTCTTAAGGGCCTGAGGCTTGTCTGTTCTTCTTGTTTCTTCTTGTATACAAGAACAACTAGTAACTCTGAAACCCATCAAGCCAACTCTGGCTGAAACTGGCAAAGGAGGCAGGTGTAAGATGGTAATAAACTCTTACTATTTTTTACAAAATTTAACAATTGGTTAGGAAAACAGATTCCTAGTCTGGCACCCCCATTTGAGGGAGGGGCTGAGTTACCTGCTCATCTGGTGGGTGGGCATTAGCTTGCTCCAAGGGAAATCCAACAGCCCTTGTTCAACCCCAGCCCGCTGGGCAGCAGGGAGAGCTGGAGCCACGTGGAGGGCCTGTTAGATGTGGGGAGGGGAATGCCAGCTGTGGCCCAACCAACCTTTGTTACAGTCAACAGGAAGTAAGGTACTACAGGAGACAGGGCTTTGTTATTTTTGCTGCTCATGAATAGTAATTCTGGTAATTATGTATTTTCCTCTGTTTTGTCCACATGTCAAACTTATTCTTGAGTAAGTGTATGGTGGCATATGTTAATATTTCTATTCTGAAAGTGGTTTAGGTGAGACAGGTGCCTGGAACAATTATTATGTAAAGCCCTAACCTTGCATGCAGTGCTTCAAGTTCTCAGACTTGCTGTGTTGCATGACAACTACTTGACAACACCTCTTGATTCTTGATTTTATTTGAGCAGGATCTCCTACACGCACGATTAACAGATTACTCATTCAAAGCTAAGCTATTTCTTCTTCCCTGGGCTGAAGAAGCACTGGCCTGGAGCTCTGTCCCTGCAGTGCCACCTCTCCTCACTGACCATGCAGTTTGCGTCTCATGCTCCTGCTGTTTCATTGGTTATACCTTGTCACTTCTTCCGTGGTTGGGTTAACACTTTTTGGTGCAAGCCAAAGCAAAACTGGAGCTAAGACA